CCATAAGTAATAAAAGTTCTGCCTCCATTTTTCCAAATGACTGTATGTTGTGTCTTGCCATCAAAATAACCTTAAATCTTATAAAACAACACTAAATTACACCGTATACAAAAATTAACTCAGAATGAATCAAAGACCTAAATGCAAGAGCTAAAACTATGAAACCCTTAGAAGAAAGCAAACAGGTAAATCTTCATGACCTTGGATTTGGCAATGGATTTTTAGATATGACACCAAAACCATGAACAAGTGGAGAAAAATAGATATATTGGACTTCCTCAAAATGAAAAACTTTTATGCATAAAAGGACACTATTAAGAAACTGAAAGAGAACCTATAGAATGGGAGGAAATATTTACAAACCATATATCTGATAAGGAACTAATATCCAGAATATATAAAGAACTCTTACAACTCAACAAAAAAAGCCAAACACCCTAATTTAAAAATGGGCAAGGATATGTAGAAGGTTGAGACCGGATCCCTGCTTCCTTACACCACATACAAAAATCAACCCAAGATGGATTAAAGACTTAAATGTAAAACCCAAAACTATGAAAACCCTGGAAAACAACCTAGACAACACCATCGTGGACATAGGAATGCACAAAGGTTTCATGACAAAGATGCCAAAAGCAATTACATCAAAAGCAAAAATTGACAAGCGAAATTTAATTAAACATAAGAGCTTGTGCATGGCAAAAGAAACTATCAACAGCGTAAAGTGACAACCTACAGAATGGGAGAAAATATTTGCAAACTATGCATCTGACAAAGATCTAATATTGAGCATCTATAAGGAACTTAAACAAATTTACAGGTGAAAAACAACCCCATTAAAAAGTGGGCAAAGGACATGAACAGACATTTTTCAAAAGAAGACATACATATGGCCTATGAGTATATGAAAAAAAAGCTCAATATCACTGATTAGAGAAATGCAAATCAAAACCACAATAAGATACCGTCTCAGACTAGTCAGGATGGCTATTAATAAAAAGTCAAAAATAATAGATGCTGGCAAGGTTATGGAGAAAAGGAAACAGTTAGACACTGCAGGTGGGAGTATAAGTTAGTTCAACCATTGTGGAAAGCAGTGTGTCGATTCCTCAAAGAACTAAAAACAGAACTACCATTTGACCCAGCAATTCCATTACTGGGTATGTACCCAGAGGAATATAAATCATTCTACCACAAAGGCACATGCACCCTAATGTTTACTGGAGCACTATTCACAATAGCAAAGACATGGAATCAACCTAGATGCCCATCAATGACAGATTGGATAAAGAAAATGTGGTACGTATACCACTGGAATACTATGCAACCATAAAAAGAATGAGATCATGTCTTTTGCAGGAATATGGATGGAGCTACGGGCTATTATCCTTAGCAAACTAATGCAAGAACAGAAAACCTAATACCACAAGTTCTCACAAGTGGGAACTAAATGATGAGAACTCATGAACACAAAAAAGAGAACAACAGACACTGGGACCTATTGAGGATGGATGAGGATTAAAAAACTAAAGGCCGGGCGCAGTAATCCCAGCACTTTGGGAGGCCAAGGTGGGTGGATCATGAGGTCAAGAGATCGAGACTATCTTGGTCAACATGGTGAAACCCTGTCTCTACTAAAAGTACAAAAAATTAGCCGGGCACGGTTGCGCGTGCCTGTAATCTCAGCTACTCAGGAGGCTGAGGCAGGAGAATTTCCTGAACCCAGGAGGTGGAGGTTGCGGTGAGCCGAGATTGTGCCATTGCACTCCAGCCTGGGTAAAAAGAGCGAAACCCCGTCTCAAAAAAAAAAAAAAAAAAAAAAAAAAAACAACAAAAAACCCCTACATATTAGGTACTATGATTGTTACTTAGCTGATGAAATAATCTGTATACCAAATCCCTGTGACATACAATTTACCTATGAAACAAACCTGCACATGTGCCCCCAAACCTAACATGAAAGTTAAAAAATAAAAATTGGCAAAGCACTTGAATAGATATTTCTCCAAAAGAGATATAGGAATATCCAACAAACCCAAGAAAAGATACTCAATATAATGGGTCATTAAGAAAATGCAAATCAAAACCACTTCTCTCCCACTAGGATGATAAATATAAAAAATGGAAATTAGCAATTGTTTGCAAAGATATGGTAAAATTGGAACCTTGCTGGTAGGAATGCAAAATGTTACAGCTACTGTGGAACAGTTTGGCGGTTCCTCAAAAATGTAAACATAGAATTACCATATGAACCAACGATTATACTCCTAGCTATATATGCAAGAGAGATAAAGACATACACCCACACAAAAGCTTATACATAATTGTTTATGGCAGCATTATTCACCACACAGCCAAAAGGCAAAAACAATCCAAATATCCATCAACACATAAATGAATAAACAATGTGGTATGCATATAATATTAAGCCACAAAAAAAGAATGAAGTATTGCACATGCTACAACATAGATGAACCTTGAAAATACTATGCTAAGTGAAAACCAGACACAACAAGTCACATATTGTACAATTCCATTTATAGGAAATATCTAGAATAGGTAAATTCATAAAGACGGAAAGCAGATGAGTCATTGCTAGGGACCAGGGGAAAAGGGGAATTAAGAATGACTGCTTAATGGGTATGGGGTCTCTTTTCAGATTGATAAAACTGTTTGGGAACTAAATAGAGGTGGTGGTTATACAATATTTCGAGTGTACTATACATGTCACTGAACTGTACTGTTTAAAATGGTTAATTCTATGTTATGTGAATTTCTCTTTAAAAAAGAGAATAAAGATAGCACGATTTGAAAAAATGTATACAGAAGTATATTCTTTAGGTCAATGGCCTTCATCTTTTTAATATTACATACCCCTCTGAACATCTAATGAGAGCAATGGACCCTTTTCTCAGCAAATGTGCACATACAATAAAAATGTATATATCCAGTCTGGGTGTGGTGGCTCATGCCTGTAATCCCAGTGCTTCGGGAGGCTGAGGCAGAGGGCTTACTTGAGGTCAAGAGTTAGGGACCATCCTGGGCAATGTAGGGAGGTCCCGTCTGTACAAAAATGTAAAGAAATTAGCTTGGAGTGGTGGCGTGCGCCTGTAGTCCCAGTTACTCCAAAGGCTGAAGTTAGAAGATCCCTTGAGCCCAGGAGTTCAAGGCCACAGTGAACTACAATTGCACCACTGAACTCCAGCCCGGACAACAGAGTGAAACCACCACCACCACCACAGACACACACACACACACACACACACACACACACACACAATTTTGAACATAATTTTAGGGGATTCATAGGTTAATAATGCCTGAACCCAAGGAATAGATGAACTCTCTTTAACATGGCTCAGCTGCTATTTGTCCCTTTCCCTTCCCATCTCTTTCTCAAGTGGTTTTTTCGTTCTGTTCTTATCTTATGGTTTCCTCTTTTTCATGATGTCAACTTGCTTATATAAAATAAAAACATACACCCACAGAGAAACTTATAAGTGATTGTTTATGGCAGCATTATTTACAACAGCTAAAAGGTGAAAACGACCCAAATATCCATCAACATAGGATAAACAGAAGGCGGTGTGCACATAGAACAAAATATTATTCAGGTTCCTAGGGTAAAGAGCTTCTTCTCACAAGAGTGTACATACTCCACTACTTCCTAAACATATGCAATTCTGCATACCATTTCAGGTGGCCCACAGACTTCATCAGTTGGGAATACTTAGTCTAGGTCAATATGGACAGCATGGCAGACACTGGCCTAAATTTGCTGAGACAGTCATAGGGTAGTATGGACTGGCAGGCAGCAACCCTGCATCAAGCCAGACTGCCTCTGGGTTCCTGGAAAACACAGTTTGGGGGTGATAGGCACTTTGAATAAGGGCAGAGAGCAGGCAGGGTGCAGGGGACTCTCCCCCAGCAATCACTTCTTTAGGGCTCATGAACACTCTTAGCTGCAAGAGTCTAGAATAGATTTGTTCTGGTTTTCTAGTGGCATGAACAGCGCTTCACTCTGCTGGGGCTTGGTTATCACTGTGGGAATTAGGGGGAGGGAGGAGGGAAGGAGCCAAAGTCATTTACTCATATCACCACGTTAGTCACCTGTCCAGGTATATTCTTGGAGTGAGCAACAGAGTCATGTGCCTGAATGCAGGGGATGAGAAATTCTGGAATATGAGAGGGGGTGGAGGACAACACCTTCCCCTGATCTTGGCAGGGCAGGGAGGATAGGACCATTTCTGCATCCATCACATCTGCTGCATTGGTCTCACAGCTCTTCCCTTTGCCTAGAGCTAAACCTTTGAATGAAAATAGCCATGGGACAAATTTTTTAAAGTGGAATTTTTGAATTTTCTGTCAACCATCAGATTCCAGCAAGTCTATTTATCCCTCAGTAATTGGGAACATTAAGTGTGTGTGTGTGTGTGTGTGTGTGTGTGTGTGTGTGTGTTTTAAATAGAACATGAGAGAACCAGCTATTTATAAAATTTTTTTGAATGTACATTTTACTTGCTGCCAATTGAATTCCTTGTGTATGTGGCAAAAGTTAATATTATGAACTTAATTTGGTCTCTCTTCTGAGTAGAAAATTTGGAAATATTTTACGTTTTTCTCTCTCTTAAACACTTTCTCCTAAATGAAATAGCATTATTTAATTTTGTGCTTGTAAGAATAACCCATGCTGAGGGGAGTGAATTAAATAAGACCGAAAAACATATTTAAAAAAATAAAATCCCTATTTTAACTACTTGTATCCCTACTTGACAATCCACCTTATACCCATTATGAGAAGATCTGGTCCACAGGCAGAATGAACATCAGTGGCTGCGTGTAGAATTAGATCAAGTAGGTGCCTTTGAATAAAAGGAGAGAAAGAAAAAAATAAAATCCTCCTAGATGTATCAGTGGCCAATAGCTGTAGGATAAAGTGCAGCCCCTCCCTGATAACCACAGAAGAATAAATACACAGCACAGAGAGAAAGGTCCACATTTGACCTCTGGGATTAGCAAAGACCAAAGGGCCCCCCGTGCCGTGGGGCGAGAAACAGGGCTGTGGGGGGCGGGGGAGCTCGAGGAGCTCAGACGGAGAGACTAGTGAAGGGAAGAAGTGGGCTGGCTCCTGACGCACTTTCTGCGGGTGGGAGGGGAACTAGGGACCCGAGCCCACTGGTGACGTTTTTCTCACGTGGTCAGAAGCCGACGTGTGCAGAAGTCCCTCTCCTTCAGGTACCAGATCCCTGTTTCCGTGGAGGAAGGCAGACAGACTTCAGACTGAGAGACAGAGAAGGCAACTGCCCTACAGCCCTGCAGGTCGGTACAAGCTGGGGACCCCTGAGGTAGGGATGGTAATTGTCACAGGCTACAGAGGATCGGATCTGCTTTCTAGATACCGCCCCATTCCACCCCTATTCATTTTGGCGCAGAAAATTTTTTGTGTTGGGCAAGAGGTATGGGTACCGGCTCTTATTTCCCTGGAGAAGTGCAGGCTTCTGGCAGAAGGAAATGTGAGAAAGAGTCATTTCCCAGAGATGGCTACGAACACATCGCCTTGTGTGGATCCCTGTGGTCGGGATGTCAGAGGGCAAAGACCGGAGCGGGTCCAGGACTGGATCCTCTTCACTCCTTTCCCGATGCTCATCCATTTGGTGCAAGAAATGGAGGGCTTGGTGCGCGGCGGGGAGGTGGGAGCGGAACTCGAGAGAGGTCAAGGGTTGAGAATTGGGTACCAGTTGGGAACTCCTAGGAAGCGGGCGACCTGGCGACCTCTGATGGAGGAGGAGGAGGACCGGGAAGAGGACAGCGACAAAACGGCAAGAAAGCGGCCTGATCCCTGCAGGGCAGCGGGAGGCGGGCGCAGACAGTGACCCTGGGCTGCGGAGGGCGGACCCTGCAACGGGTCCAAGCCTGAGTTCCTGGTGTCTTTTCTCCATCCTCCCTCCATTTTGGAGCCGGAAATGGTGGGCTAAGGGGGTCAGGCGAAGGAGGTGCTGTAGAAAAAGGGAGACAGAGGTTTGATCTGGGGATCAGCTCCCTATCCAGGAGGAGTGGCTTCTGAACCAGGGAGGATTGAGATGAGGTAGCAGCAAGACCAAAAATGTTACTGAGTTTGGAAATAATTTGTCTTTTGCATTGCAGAAAAATATGGGCTGTGTATGTGGGGAGGGAGGAGGTGGCAGGAGTGTTTTGGACATTTCTGCCCTGCCCCCTGTCTCTGTCATCACCATTTTCAGAGAAGTGGTGGGCTCTGCTAGTTGAATACCCTGAGGTGAGGGATTTGGAATGTAGAGATCTGGGTGCACCAGAACACTCTGTCTTTGGAACATCCTTATCTGAAACCTCATTTTTGTGCCAGAAAAGTGAGATAAAAATTTGGGAGGAAGATTCAGAAACACAGAAAGCCTTTGGAAATAATCTTTTTTGCCTATTTCCCAGAAGTAGAACAATGGAGGCTCTTAAGAAGGAGCTGTGGAGGGGGAATCAGAGAAAGCAAGGGAGAGGGCAAGGAAGTGATAAGGGCTGGGAAAGTTTTGACAAATAGGGTCCCAAAGAACCAGTGTCCAAGTTACCAGTCATTCACTTTCTCAGTTTCTCATTCAACCACCTGTTTTTTGTCTCTGCAGGTTTTCAGGTCTGTGGTTGTGGACGCTAACCAAGATAAGAAAAGGAAAGACCTGCAGTATCAGTGCAGGTCAGTGGGAGAGGACCCTTGGGAGTAGCAGTGACTTAAGCCAGAGCAGAAGTTGGGGAGTCCACTGCCCACCACCCCTCCTTCAATCCTCCCTCTTGCAGTTTCAGAATACATGACTGCTGTCAAGATCCTAAGGGAATATGGTGATGTATGGCTGCTGAGAATAGAGGGGAGAACAAGAAAGTAAGAGAATGGATGTGTAGCATCTGTGATGCCCCTGGAGGATAGAAGAGTAGCCCTGAAATCTGAGAACTGGCTATGGTTCTGTTCTGTCTGCAGTTTTATAAGTCTTACAATTGCAGGCAAGGGGAAGAAGAAGAAAACTGCCTAGGATTCCCACAGGTCAGTGTAAATTGGAACTATCCAGTTAAAATTGGTATGAGCAGGCATCGCCAAGGCCAGAGCAAAGTTTAGGGACCAATATGCTCCTACACATTTCTCAGCACACTCTCCTTAAATGTAGGGAGAAGCATTTGTGTAAGTTTCTGTAAGGGAACATGTATAAGTGTAAAGGAAAGGAAGGAACGTAAAGGTGGGAGTGCACCTGGAAGATGGGATAGGGTCAGGAAAACCCTAAGTCAAGAACGGCAAGGACTATCAGGACCTGTGTTTAACCTCCAAAGCCCTCAGTATCCTGTTCTTCTTTTTGTCTCCTAGGAAAGGCAAAGAAGGGAACATCTCAACATGGAAAAGCTCTGCGAAGAACATGAAGGAAAGCCAGAAAATGAAAGAAACCTAGAAAGTGAGGAAAAGCCTGAAGATGAGGAAAGTACAGAAGAGGAAGGAAAGTCAGACGAGGAAGAAAAGCCGGACGTGGAGGGGAAGACAGAATGCGAGGGAAAGCGAGAGGATGAGGGAGAGCCAGGTGATGAGGGACAACTGGAAGATGAGGGAAGCCAGGAAAAGCAGGGCAAGTCCGAAGGTGAGGGCAAGCCACAAGGCGAGGGCAAGCCAGCCTCCCAGGCAAAGCCGGAGAGCCAGCCGCGGGCCGCCGAAAAGCGCCCAGCTGAAGATTATGTACCCCGGAAAGCAAAAAGAAAAACGGACAGGGGGACGGACGATTCCCCCAAGGACTCTCAGGAGGACTTACAGGGAAGGCATCTGAGCAGTGAGGAGATGATGAGAGAATGTGGAGATGTGTCAAGGGCTCAGGAGGAGCTGAGGAAGAAACAGAAAATGGGTGGTTTTCATTGGATGCAAAGAGATGTACAGGATCCATTCGCCCCAAGGGGCCAACGGGGTGTCAGGGGAATGAGGGGTGGAGGTAGGGGCCAGAAAGACTTCGAAGATGTCCCATATGTTTAATGTCTTTGGCCTTTAATTCTGATTTCTCTGATGGGAATATTGCCAGACCTGCTTTCCCTGGCAGGCATTTGCCGGGCTATGTGCTTTAACCTTAAGCTGATACTTTCCTTTAGGTGTCACTCTTGTTACCAGCAGACTTTTGACCTACCTACAGTGCTCTGTCTTTTAGTAGAGGATTTTCACCCATGTGCATGGAATAAATGTTCATGGTACATTGTAAAATAACAATAAAAGAGTTTTCAGAACCACATATACAGTATCAGTCCATTTCTGAAAAAATATATTTTTACATAATACATCCCTACATGGGGGACACTATGCAATTGAGTAGACCAAAGAGAAATAATGATTTTCTTTGTGTGGTGGGACTGGAAATTATTCTTTTTCTCATCTGCACTTTTTAAAATCTAAAAACACCGGTTATTTTTGTTATAAAGGAAGTAATAGAAGGTAAACAAGATAGGAAAACAATAAATACTAGGCAATCAAAAGAACTATTCATTCAGCATATGAAGGTAGTGGAGACACTTAACAATTCTTTCTGTTAGAACACAAAATGACAGATAAAACTCACATTACCCCTGGGACTTGAAGTTGGAGGAATCAACCTGGTAGTTACTAATAGATTCATTGCTGTAAGAGCCTTGTGTGAAATGGGGCTAAAACTTACCTCCCAGGGCTGTGGAGTAGATCAGATGTGACACGAGTCTGTGGCCTACGTTAGGCTGGCTCCTGCCTGCTCCCCTGCACTAGCAGTACCAGGTCAGACAGTTGTTGAGGGTGGGGAGTGTTGCTGAGGGAGGTCTCACCTGTGCCTACAAATAGATACAGGAAGCTGAGAGGGAGGTGCCACTTTCCCCTGGGTAATTTCACATCTGTTGGGTATTGTGACCCCTCTCCAGGGTCCTGTACCCTCTAAGGCCCCCATTGTTGCTGGTGGGGTAGAGTCTTCAAGGTAACAAAACCTTTTAGATTCACCTGAAGTCCCTGGTGAATTGAATCCCCAATAGGTTCCTTTCTGAATTGTGGAGAATGTCCCTCTTCTCTCTTTACAGTTATGTTAATACTGACATGAAATGTGGGGGAAAATGCTTCACAAAATCTTAACTAATATATTTGTCAGGCATTATAATTACCCCACTAGACTCACCCTTTAATGCAAAGAGTTTATCTTACTCACTTTGTTACTCCATAGCACATTACTAGAAGCTTAAAAAGTAACTATGTTAATTATTGAGTCAGAAGGCCTCAGTCCTTGGCCCAGTTCTGCCCGGACTGAATACATAGCCTTGAAATTGTAATTTTATTCTTTAGCAACAGAAACTTGTCACTTCAAAAGGAATACAGAGGGAGATGGATTATATCAAAATTCATTGCTAAATGATTTTAACAGTGGATATAGTAGTGTTTTTCAAAGTTTGCTACTTACTAGCAGACCTCCTGCATGGAAATCACCTATCATGTTGAAAATGCAGCATCCTCAAACCCAATGCATCAGAAACTCTTTTGATCTACAATGTGTGTGTGTGTGTGGGGGGGGGGGGTGCATGCGTATTTTACTTTTATCTCATATTCATTTTTATCAAATGAATATGCAAACAGATTTTTTAAATCCTATAGTACGAAGTTTTTTTGTTTTGTTTTGTTAAAAACTGCAGTTTTCCTTGCCATTCCACACTTCCATTCCCCAGAGGCTACTACAATAGGCAAGTACCATAAACATCTTGTTTTATTCTGGCATTTACCTCCCTGTTTCTGAATAATATGAATATGCTGCTATTTCTTGTTTTAACAGCTTTATTAAAAGGTAATTTGTGTACCATAAAATTCACTCTTTTACAGTATACAATTCAGTGGTTTTTAGTATATTAGCAGACTTCTGAAGTCATTATGACTACCTGATTCCAGGATATTTTCATCACCTTAAGAAGAAATCCCACATCCATTAGCACATAATGTCATGCGCACTCCCCTGTTCCCCTAGCATCTGGCAAGCACTGACCTCCTTTCTGTCTCTATGGATTTGCCTATCCTGGACATTTCATATTAATTGAATAGTACAATATGTGGCCTCTTATGTCTTGCTTCTTTCACTTACCATAATATTTTCAAGGTTCGTTCATGTTGTAACACATATCATTACTAAACATTTGTATACAAATTTTGTGTGTAGATATATTTTTTATTCTCTTGGTTATACACCTAAGAGTGGAATTTAAAAGTCATGATAACTCTGTATTTAAATTTTGAGAAACTTCCAGACTGTTTCCCAAAGCAACCATGGTATTTGACAATCCCACCAGCAGTGTAGGAAGTTTCCAATTTCTTCATATCCTCACCAACACTTGTTATTGCCTGTATTTTTTATTAAAGCCATCTTAGAGGATATGGAGTGACATCATATTATGGTTTTGATTGGCATTTTTCTAATTGCTAATGATGTTCATCATCTTTTTATGTGCTTATTGGCCATTTGCATCTCTTCTTTGGAGAAATATGTATTCAGATCTTTTGTCCCTTCCTAAATTGGATTGTTTTCTTATTGATGAGTTGTAAGAGTTCTTTGTTTATTCTGGATATAAGTCTCTTATCAGATATATGACTTGCAACTGCTATTTCTTGACTGTTCACTTTAGTTATTAAGATTTTCTAATAGGATAATGGAGCAATTCTTTCTTACCATTGTAACCCCCATTATCTATTGCCTACCCCAATATAGCTTTACCACATACATTGTTTATTTTAGCAAGCATCCCAGTGACTCTGTTGCTTAACTTTGAGGACCATTTGTGTGTTTGTCAGGTTAGGCTACACTTATGCTGGGGTAGCTAACAACTCATAAACCTCAGTGGCTTAACACAACAAAAGTTTCTCAAACTTCATAAAGGTTGGGGATAGAGAAGCTCTGTTCCTCATAGTCTGTCAGGGATCCATTGCAGCAAAGAAAAAGAGTGTATGAGGATCTCACAGTCACTTTTCTATACTGTGGTCTAGAAGTGGCATAATCACCACTATTCAGAGCCCACTTCTTCATATTTCTAGCTACTTTAATTCTGAAAAGATTTCTGAGAGGATTATTATTTATGCCCTCTATATAGGTGATTGAACTGAGGCTCAAAGAGGAAAGTGATTTATTCAATGTTCCATACCAATAAAGAGAAGAACCCAGATTGAAATCTAGGTTTATCTGGCTCTAATGCAATAATTCTTAACCAGTTTCCTTTCTCTTTTTTTTTTTTTTTTGAGACAGTGTCTTGTTCTGTCAACCAGGCTAGAGTGCAGTGGTGCAATCTCTGCTCACTACAACCTCCACCTCCCAGGTTCAAGTGATTCTTCTGCCTCAGCCTCCCAAGTAGCTGGGATTACAGGCACCTGCCACTATGCCTGGGTAATTTTTGTATTTTTAGTTAAGACGGGGTTTCACCATGTTGATCAGGCTGGTTTTGAACTCTTGACCTCAAGTGATCCACCCACCTCGGCCTCTCAAAGTGCTGGGAATACAGGCATGAGCTACCGCACCCGGCCAGTTTCCTTTTCTAAACCAGGGATTTCATTTTCACTTTATTGTTCAACCAGTCCTTTAGGATGTCAGAAAAGTGGTAATGTTTCCTTGGATGACAAATCTAAAGAACAAGGTTCACAATGGCATTGCTTCCTCTATCATCAATGCCTTAGAAAGGCATTTTCACACCAATTCACAGCTTGATTATACTGGCTCCCAAATTGCGAACTGTTTCTGCAGTGAATGTGGGTGTTCAGACAGGTGGTAGCATCCCTTTTTGTTTGAATTGTAGGAACACATGCTCCTACAGCCAAGGTCTTTTTGCTCGGGGTTCCTTAAATTATGGGGCCTGAATTGACTCGAACATCAGAAGCATTTTTCTAAGCAAAGACAGAACTGAAATCACCATATAAACACCAAAACAGGTCCAGGCACAATCAAGGCTCTTCTGAGAGTCTGAGCAAAATGGGTTGGGATTATTTTTCCAACTACATCCGTACCCTAATTGTCCTAGGGGTTGTTTCACTGCATTCTGAGAGAATGGTTCAACCCTCCTACCTTAACCCCAGATTATCTTGTCAAATTCACATTGTAGCTGGCTGTGACAAGGACAAATGCTTTAATTTTTTATCCTGTTAAGTTTTACATCCATCCCTACAAATGTCTCCTACATAACCCAAAAGGAAAGAGGACAGGGAAAAAATGCAAAGCTTTATGACAGAAAAATGAAAGCAATTCTTAACACTGGAGACTATTGAATCTATCACCAGTCCATTCAAGCCAATAGACAATGGCCGATGTTGCTAAGCACAACCATATAATAGAGGATATGTACTTTACTTCTCCCTTACTTCTCTCCCAAACCTAAGAAATGCTTTTGGGATAAGGAGAAAAGCTCACACTTGAAGGATCACAGTATTTTTCCCAGATAGACATAAGTTTTCATCCTGCCTTGAGCTATCTGTTGCAGAAGCTAAATCCTAGATGAGTGTTTCCAAGAATCTTCCTAAGAATAGACTCCAATTGCCTGTCCACTACAAGCCCCTAGAGAAAGAGGGTATATGTTGCTTATGGGAACCAAAGGGAACCTTAAATTGAATATACTACTTAAATTGTAAAATGAACAAGACAATTGCCAGGTTCAGCTCAAAATGGAGAGCTGAAAAGAATATAACTTACACATTTACAATGGGGGAAAAGTTGGATAAACTGCAATATAACAATTTTTCTTGAAACCACCAGAGAACTCAGATCACAGAGCAAATAATTATCCTCAAATCTAGAGAAAGACACTTGGAGGGAGAAATAGAGGTAAGCAAGCATTTCCTTACCTGAAATAAACACAACCAAATGCTATGTAGGTCAGCTAAAAAATTGAGCTAGAAATTGTTAATGGATTTCTAAAGACCGAGTGAGAGCCAGCATGAGAGTATGTGGTCTCTGAGAGTCACAGACGTAAAGGAATTTGCACCCTCCATCAGGCTTATCTCTAGAAACTCCACTAGATGTTCCCAGGGAAGATCAGTGGGAATCCAAAAAACGCTGTACTTATAGTGCCAGCTAAGAAAGGGAAATAGCAGACCCTGCTGACCTTTCAACTAGATCCATCTCTCTTAGTAAACAAAAGTCTTAATCTGCAGGAAGAAGGACAACAAACCCATGCCATGAAGTTATTGGTGGAAATCCACTGCAGCTGATAAAAGGAAACATAAAAATAAAAGCTATTTGAAGGGGAGGGTGAAGGCATG